AAAGAAGGAGAATTCGAGAGATCCGAAGCCCCGTACCCCCATTCCTTGAGATTAGGCTTGGTCTTAATCTTGAGAAGAGTATTGATTTGGCTTGGTCGAGATACTTTAGCGGTTTCTTTCTTTGTGAAGTGAGAGCTCTGATAAATAATTCTATCAACCGGATCTGATCCGTAGGCGGTCCACGGATAAACCCCAGCACATGCAAAGATAACACGCAAGAAACAAGAGAAAAACTGCTGTTGTGTGTTGTTTGAAGGAATTGTAATCATTATATTTTCATTGTGTAAGAAGATCTTATAAAAATATTAACTTTTTATTTATTTGAATTTATTGTAACGACTAAAGTTATAATAGATTCAAGATAATGAAAATAGTAATTTCTGAACCAAACACATTGGCGACCATAGTGGGAGCCAACAACCTTTCTGCGAAGGCTGATGTGTCGCAACCTCTGATCCGGATCCCGGTTGACATAGAGTTTGAGTACGAGTTTGTTCAGGCCAAGTTCGAAGAGTATCTGTTGTCCTCCTCCTCCAGATCGTCCACACCTTGCAACCATAAGAAGATTAACGCCCCTGTTACCGCTGTGGTCATACCTTGCAACACCCCTACGGCTGAAGCTTCAGATCTTAACTCCTCAATCAAAAAGATAACCGTTGGAGTCACGATAACCCTATCAAAGAGGGCACGCCAAAGGCAACGCCAACGCCTTGCGTGTCAATTCGCCGAGGCCTTGGAGACTTTTGACGGAATCTGCTACGATGCAGATCTGAAACTCAGAAGGCGCCAAGTGTTTCAGCAGTAAGAAAATGCTCCCTCCTCCAAATCATCAACAAGTGAATGGATCAAAGTCAAAAGGACCCATTCAACTCTTGAGGAACGCATCCAGAAACACCGCGTACTGCTTGCACACGCGCAAATTCTTGCGCAAAAGGCACAAAAAATGCATAAGAAGGACATAGCCAAAAAACAATCAAGACTGTATTAAACTTGGAGGCTAAAGTCCGAAACGACGGCCAAAAAGACCGTGAAGCGTGGGTCACACCAAGGTGACCCGGACAGCAGCAGGTCACCCCGAGGTGCCGCCAGCGGGTCACCCTGAGGTGACCCGGCCGCTTGCGGGTCACCCTAAGGTAACCCAACCATTGGCGAGTCACCCCAAGGTGATCCGGCCAAGTGCGAGTCACCCCAAGGTGACCCGCGCCTGAGCCGAGCTAGGAGGTGTCACGTGCCTATTTTCCAACTCCGGTGAATTCCGTTTATGTTCCGACTGATCCAACCTTCGGTAAAGTCCCACGTCAACACGGACTTGCCCCGATTCAAAATGACAATGGCGGAACACATAGGTCCTTTGCACGAGGATCAAGGCAGAGTTCCGGTCAAAGAACGCTTGGGCCCAGGAAAGGAACCCCAAGCAATTCATCAAGCTAGGGGTCGCACATACCCTCGCAACAACTTGGAGCCTTCTCATAAAGGGAAAATTCTAGTAACCGACCACATCGGACTGCGAGTTAAAGTCCAAGAGTCCGTTGAGGTCCCGCGCTCACAAAGGCATAGCTCTAAACGTGTGACTCTTGAAAACACTAACAAAGCATTATATCCCCAGAAGGAAATGTATTCGTCTGACGATGATAACGTTATACCTGGGAAGTTGTGCCGGCACACGATAGGTTGCTCCGGTGATCATGCCAATGAGTTGTACTATCAGGCTGGGGGTACGAATAAATCTTGAAAGAGAAGTATCCAGGAAGCCGACTATCATTGTTCGTGTACCAAAATTATTAGGGCAGTATTATCAGCATGTAGCTGCCCCAAGACCGCTTCACAGAGGGTCTCGGTATTCGAAAGGATCTACACTAAAGCATCGAAGCCCAAATCAAGGCGTTTTCACAAAAAAAGATCGGTCATTCGAGATAACGAACTCCCAGAAGTTACCATCAACATGGTCAATAAGGGAAAGTCTCCGATTTTTTCAAGTGGTTCTAGCCCCGACTTTTCTCCAGGAAGAAGAGTCAATTCGGGAATAGCCCAACTAATGTCTCGACTCCAGCTAGAAGCTGTCGGACCTAAACAATCCACAGTCACGATTAACATGACTGATAAGGGAAAGTTGACCCAATCTTCTAGTTCAGACCCCCTCATATCGCATCGTCTAACTCGGCTACGTGCAGGGACTACTAGACGTATGGACTATTAGAGGATGAATAGAGGATTATTCTCGGACGATGAAGCATCAGATGCTAACTATGCAGTCACTTTTGACAATACGAGTATCTAGCCCAGGACAATCTTGCGAGGCATTTATGATCAACGCCGAGCAAATGATCAAGATTCTTGAAGATGCTTTGGCTAAGCAAAAGGAGAACTTCAAGTTCGAAATAGAAATGACTATGCTACGGATGAAGGAAGAGCATGACCGACGGATCCAAACTTTGTTAGTTCAAATCGATGAATCTAGTCGTCACAACAATGCCTACCGGGTAGGTGGCGATTCAGACATGGACGAACACCTAGATACAAATAACCCTCATGTTGACCAAAACGCTAGGGATGCCCCCACTAAAAATAACGACGCTGAGAATGGTACCACCTTCAAGAGATCTGTTAAAGTTAAAGGTGTCTGCACATAAAATGAATATATGAGATAAGAAGGGATCTCCTTGGCAGAGACCCCTAGCCAGTTTCAAATATCCCTTGTTTTGACCACTAATTAAGGAGTGGGAAACTGTGGGTATACACTGATCCTCGAAGCATTTCGATCCTCACTACTTTGATCTTGTCCGCCGATTGGTACACCGGCGACCCTTCAATTTATCTAGGCCAACAATTCTCAATAATTTTATTACGGCCGCCAGCGGGTCACCCTGAGGTGACCCGGCCGCTTGCGGGTCACCCTAAGGTAACCCAACCATTGGCGAGTCACCCCAAGGTGATCCGGCCAAGTGCGAGTCACCCCAAGGTGACCCGCGCCTGAGCCGAGCTAGGAGGTGTCACGTGCCTATTTTCCAACTCCGGTGAATTCCGTTTATGTTCCGACTGATCCAACCTTCGGTAAAGTCCCACGTCAACACGGACTTGCCCCGATTCAAAATGACAATGGCGGAACACATAGGTCCTTTGCACGAGGATCAAGGCAGAGTTCCGGTCAAAGAACGCTTGGGCCCAGGAAAGGAACCCCAAGCAATTCATCAAGCTAGGGGTCGCACATACCCTCGCAACAACTTGGAGCCTTCTCATAAAGGGAAAATTCTAGTAACCGACCACATCGGACTGCGAGTTAAAGTCCAAGAGTCCGTTGAGGTCCCGCGCTCACAAAGGCATAGCTCTAAACGTGTGACTCTTGAAAACACTAACAAAGCATTATATCCCCAGAAGGAAATGTATTCGTCTGACGATGATAACGTTATACCTGGGAAGTTGTGCCGGCACACGATAGGTTGCTCCGGTGATCATGCCAATGAGTTGTACTATCAGGCTGGGGGTACGAATAAATCTTGAAAGAGAAGTATCCAGGAAGCCGACTATCATTGTTCGTGTACCAAAATTATTAGGGCAGTATTATCAGCATGTAGCTGCCCCAAGACCGCTTCACAGAGGGTCTCGGTATTCGAAAGGATCTACACTAAAGCATCGAAGCCCAAATCAAGGCGTTTTCACAAAAAAAGATCGGTCATTCGAGATAACGAACTCCCAGAAGTTACCATCAACATGGTCAATAAGGGAAAGTCTCCGATTTTTTCAAGTGGTTCTAGCCCCGACTTTTCTCCAGGAAGAAGAGTCAATTCGGGAATAGCCCAACTAATGTCTCGACTCCAGCTAGAAGCTGTCGGACCTAAACAATCCACAGTCACGATTAACATGACTGATAAGGGAAAGTTGACCCAATCTTCTAGTTCAGACCCCCTCATATCGCATCGTCTAACTCGGCTACGTGCAGGGACTACTAGACGTATGGACTATTAGAGGATGAATAGAGGATTATTCTCGGACGATGAAGCATCAGATGCTAACTATGCAGTCACTTTTGACAATACGAGTATCTAGCCCAGGACAATCTTGCGAGGCATTTATGATCAACGCCGAGCAAATGATCAAGATTCTTGAAGATGCTTTGGCTAAGCAAAAGGAGAACTTCAAGTTCGAAATAGAAATGACTATGCTACGGATGAAGGAAGAGCATGACCGACGGATCCAAACTTTGTTAGTTCAAATCGATGAATCTAGTCGTCACAACAATGCCTACCGGGTAGGTGGCGATTCAGACATGGACGAACACCTAGATACAAATAACCCTCATGTTGACCAAAACGCTAGGGATGCCCCCACTAAAAATAACGACGCTGAGAATGGTACCACCTTCAAGAGATCTGTTAAAGTTAAAGGTGTCTGCACATAAAATGAATATATGAGATAAGAAGGGATCTCCTTGGCAGAGACCCCTAGCCAGTTTCAAATATCCCTTGTTTTGACCACTAATTAAGGAGTGGGAAACTGTGGGTATACACTGATCCTCGAAGCATTTCGATCCTCACTACTTTGATCTTGTCCGCCGATTGGTACACCGGCGACCCTTCAATTTATCTAGGCCAACAATTCTCAATAATTTTATTACATCCCCCTTTATGAGCCCAGCTCCCATCAAAGCAAAATCTTCCTTCATCCGTAGCTAGCCATTTCCATTTCAATTGCAATGCCTCCACCCTTGCCTACCGGATCAACGTGATAGCCATAACTTAAATTCAACAATCTACGAACCGCATCCACCATACGTCCTTGATTTTTGGTTTCAAGCAAGATGACACAGTTATAAATGTAAAATTTCATCACGTGTTTAAAAAATGAAATAATATTGAAAAACCAACCCTTTTGTATTTGTGAAACGAAAGCAGCAGACTGATTCACGATATTATTGGCTTCTAAACTAGGACAAAGTCTCAATCAGAGCAAAGTTATGAAAACAATTGGTATTTCTTAAGGAACCGATATGCTACTCGAGGCCCTAGATACTCAATACTCAATTGTATATTTCTCATAGGTAAAGTCATGCCGCTGGTACAAGAAACTCATATATCAAAGCTATTATACAACAAGAATTAAGGCCATAATGCTACTGCTCAGCAGCAGGAAAAACCAGGCAGAGCTTGTCCAACAAAATTTTATAGAACTTTGTGGTGTAAAAATGCTCAAGAATATATCTATGAACAACTTAGCAGCTGCTAAACATCCGAATACAAAACTCATAAATATCACCACGAGACCCTTGTTTTCAGTTTCAACCTGATAATCTCGAACTCTTTCAAACTCTGATCTGCATGTCAGGAGAAAATACATTAGCATCAACTTTGAGATGACATTACGCGCTATAAATTTAACTAGATTTTCATCAATGATAGTTGTCTGGGTTGAAAATGGCTTCTTAATATTTAAGTTAGTAAATTGTCAGATTATATTCCTCAACCCTGACCTCAATTTTGGAGTTTTGGTGTGATGGTTACAGGGACTTTGAGATGGTATTAGAGCAACCAAGGTTCAAAACCCACCAGCCACGAATTTAAAGCGGATTTTGTAAAAATTGACACTGCTTTGTGACTCCAAGTTTTAAGCCCATGAAAAGGGCGCTCAACCTGCAGGGGGTATGTTAGAATATAAGCATATATTTCTCAACCCTCACCACAACTATCGGAGTTTTGGTCTAACAATTAGAGAGACTTTATAAGACAAACAAGCTTAAGTTGCAATGTCAGATAACGCCTCGCATAATTTGTTGAGTGTAAATACTGACTCACTCCATTTGTTTGCTGGAACTTGTCGGTTCAATAAAAATGAAATAATTCTTTAAAATACTGAATGCAACAGTTACTAATTTCAGCTTAATTCTTATGTGAAGTGCAGAAGTCCTGATTTTAGTTGTATATTTCAATAAAATTCAGATATATATTTATATATTTAGCTGGATGTTCAAGCTCTAGTCTTTTATTAGACACTTCTATTTTTAGAAGTGTCTAATAAGAGAATAGAGGAGTGCAATTCATAAAAGAATAGAGCTGTAACTATTAAGCCAACTTGACCATGATGCTTCAATTGGTTTGATCAATTCTCCCTCCTTGTTTTTATTATAATTTTTTTTTGCTACTGGTAAGGACCACAGCCAAAATTTTGCACAACAAATTACACGTGGTTTTTACTCGGGATGCATAATTTGAAGCCAGAGTTTTGAGCAGTAGTTATATGCTGTGAATCAAAATGTGATATCTGGATGATTTGGTTTGAAATATTGTAACTGAAACTGCAGATACAATTTGCACAAAAAGGGGGAAAAACAGATGCAATCGGTACTTTTGTTCTGATTATAATGTAGCCCTTTTGCAAAGGCAGTTTAAAATGGTACCACTTTTTGCAAAAAGGTTATAACTAAATTGACCGCAAATTGTCTTGCAAAAATAGCTCATTTACAGCTGCAGTGACAAAAAGTTGCACTTGTAACTAACAAATAGCTGCAATGCAAGTAAAACTGCTTTTTACATATTAAGCAGTTCACAGTTGCAAATTTTGCATACCAAGTAGCTTATAGAATTATTTTCTGCAACCTTGAGGGAGGAGACTCATATATGATAAAAATATCATTTATTCATGGCCTTCCACTAACACCACAAAAAATGGCAAATATTATGGTTTTATTTTTGTCAGCTGTCTGTGCTGCCAGTATAACTATATCCACTCTACTAAGTTGGTAATGAAAAAGCTAAAGAGTTGGGAGTAACATAAGTTATACTTCTTCTGCATGTTACTCCCGATGGAACTCCGCCATTGAAAACAATGTCGTCCTTTTAAGTTCTGAAGCTGTTAAATGTTAATGAAAATTGTCACTTGAAACCTATGATGAAATTCTCTAAATTACACATTGAAACCGACAAAATTTAGAGGCACGACTGTTCTGTGCACTAAATATTTAACAGAATTGGATTTCCTAAAGCCTAAAGAGTTTTAAAAAGGGTAAATTACACTAAACTCCCATTAACTTTTAGCATTTTTCATAAACCCCTAATTACTTTCAAAGTCACACTAAACCCCCCAAGAACTTTCAAAAATCACACTAAACCCCCAATAACTTTCAAAATCACAATAAACCAACCAAAATACCCATTAAATTATTTTAAAAACCCATTATGACCTTTTTATATTTTCAATTCTAAAAACAAAAATCTCTTGTTTTTTGTCATTCGCTTTTCTCTTGCTCCCGCCTAAGTTAGGATCCTGAAGCCTATTTTTTTTTCTTTTGCTGAAATTATCCTTCAAAATGACTATTTATGTTGCTTTTCCTATCCGCAAAATACAGAAACTTATTTAGTGGTTCTTTTTGCAATTCCAAATAGTTATTGGGGGTTTAGTCTGATTTTAAAAGTTACTGGGAGTTTAGTGTGATTTTTGAAAGTTCTTGGAGGTTTAGTGTGACGTTGAAAGTTATTGGAGGTTTAGTGTGATGTTGAAAGTACCCATGTAACGTAGGTACCTCTCAAAACAAAACCTCTGCAGCAGCTCTAGCTTGCCTGAAGTCATTTTCATTGCAGAAAATTTTAAGAATGTGTAACTTTTTCAAATACATTGACATTAGGATAACTACCCTTATTTTCTGATATACTAAACAAACGGAGCACATAATTTATTGTCAGTCAGGAAAATGTCTCCTTAGTGCACCAGGAATTGTGAACTGCAAAAGGGCTAGATGGCACTCAAATACCACAAATGTTCTGCCTTTTGGCACTTAAATACCCTGAGTTATTTTTTGCAACACTTAATACCTTAATAAGTTTTTTCCAATTAAAATTAGGTCAACAGTGCTACTTTGATGGAAAGATGTGTTGGATATCTTGACCCCAAGATTTGTTTATTTTGATGGTAACAAATATTATATGTTGTGTGTATTTTGTGCTAACATATGTTTTGCAGTATCAGAGCAAAATCAACAATAATATTCAAAGAGATACTCAAGTTCAAGGCAACAAGACAAGCAAAGAAGATGTGCTTAATGGTAAATTTGTAATTTTACATTTTCTTTACTTAGAATTTTGTACAAGTCTTGATCACTCACAACACATACACGCACATAGTATTTAGAACACACTAACACATGCTTAGTGTGTGGTTAACTATAGAAACCCCTAAGTTAACCATTAGAGTTTATAGATATAGAGTGAGTCTCAAAACATATCATATATCTCATATTTATGTATCAGTAGTCGACCAATACTCTTAGTAGTAGACTACTCTCCTTAGTAGTAGACTACTAAGCCAGTTTGTCAAATATTCAGAAACTACATATGTTACATATGTACAGTGTAGTCGACTAGTCTCCTTAGTAGTAGACTACTAAAACAGTTTGTCAAATATCCAGAATCTACACATGTACAGTGTAGTCGACTACTCTGCTTAGTAGTCGACTACTAAGCAGTTTTCTGACTTTACAGAGTCTGAATTAACTCAGTATAGTCGACTACTAAGACTAGTAGTCGACTACTGAAACAGTTTTTTCAGCAGTTCTAAATTTGAATTGTTAAACGTTTATAGCCGTTTTAAAATGTTAATATATTAATTAGGTTTAAAATTTGAGTTTTTCAGAGGCTAAAAATAGGTTTA